TGGACCCGTACTTTGACTGGCGAACGACAATTTTCCCTTTTTAGGCGCGAATGAAGTCGACGTTTTTGTAGTTTAAACTGGTCAAAAACTGGTCGAAACATTTACGATTATATAACGTCCTGAACGTCAGTATTAACGTTTTTACAAGGACGTTAACCTTAAACCGGGTTCAAGGTTTTTCTTCCCCTTGGGCAACTCTGTTAGCGTGTAACCGCAATTTGAAAGTGTGTTCAAAACCCAGAGCGAACTCAACCCAAGCCATTTCCCTAAGGGAGCTTTGCCATGGGATAAGTTCAGGCTAGTGTAACCGCACCAGGTTTCAGTAATATGCACTTACTGGCTGGCCTCGAATTCAGGTCGATCATTACACAACGATGTAAATTGAACCGTCAAGAATAACTTATTCATTGGCGGTAGGATTGATTGCCCGACAGTGTAAACACTTCAAACCTCCGTCTTTTTCCGTGCCTTTCCAAGTGTCCTTGCGATGTATCGTATGTTTCTTGCTCGTTGCAAAGACCTGTGTTTTGGACTTCTCGTTCTGTTCTTCGTATATGAAGGACTTATGTGGATGTCTGACAACATCGTTTTAGTTGGAGAATCCAAAAGTGGAGGTAAAGTAAGCGATTTTAAAAGCTGTATGTACAGTACAATACTTAAGTCAGGGACACCCAACGACGTTTTTCTGAAAAAAAAACTGTTTGAAGGAGTAAAAATTGCCTTGAATTTCTAAAGCGTAAGAAAGGATAAAAATGTCTGGATAACCTTTCCATTCGTCTAAGATATCCGGAATTTTTCTGCTAGCTTTCCGTACGATTTTCGGAGGTTGTGTTTTTCACGTTTTATTACCAGAATACTGCTGTTGCTTTTATTGGTATATAGACAAAACGCCTCCTAAATTTTTTTTTAAGAAAGTACGGCTACTCAGCGACCTCGAACCTTCGACAGGACCCATCAGGATAGCTAACAGTTTCGGATGAGCCGAAAAAGCCTACTACAACTAATTCGAGGCTATAAAGTTCCCCTAAGACATCCGAGCAGGTAGATAGTTTTTAGAGCAGTGATAGGCATCTAAAACTTCACGTAGAGAAAACCATTTGAGACGATTCTGACGTGTTTGGAAACGGAAACTTTCGGGCGTTGGGTGCCCCCAGTGTTATGTGTACATTTGTGATGATATTCTACATATTCTACATGCATGAAAACAGGGGCACCCAACGAGAATATAGTTCAAACCACTTAAACATAGCATTGTTAAACGTATTTTAGTATTTAAACGGTAGAAATAGGCATATTTTCATTCCCTAAAATTTTTTCATCTGTTCGGATTTCCTAGCTGAAAGTCTAGTGATCCGAAAATTAAAGGGATCAAAACTTACCTTTTCGAAAATTTCAGCCAGAAAAAAGGCTCCCGAAAATTCTAGGTGACCTTTCCAGGGTAAAAATCCGTTAAAAATAGGCAATTATACCATTATTTAGATGTTCGAAAATCCTATAGGAGAAGCAGGTAAGCAAGAAATTCAGCAACAAATGTTCCGAAAATTCTAGATCTCAAATCGTCTTCCGAACAGATATTTTCCGAAAATTGTTGTTGGGTGCCCCTGATGAAAATAGTCGTCTACACTCATGCTACTGTTAATGTTGTTCCTGCTTTTGTGAATTGGTGTTTTTCATGTCATTTATGTTCAAAGGCCAACGTGGCTGATCCTTGCAAATTTTAGGGAATAGTATTTGCATGATGATTTGCATGAGATCCGTTCAAAAAATCTTAATTCGTAACCATTGCATTGTTTTATACTTCCATAAGAAGTTTCATATTTTCTTTATCGAAACTAAAATAACAGCTTCTATTAATTAAAACATTTTTGTCGGCAAAGTTTCTTTATATGGGAAAAATAAAACCATGCGTTCCCAAGTTTGGTGTTTTTTTCTGTTGGAGGCGATATGGAGTTTTTACTTTAAAAACGTTCCCAGGCAGGTATATTTAGGACTTGTTGAAATGTTCAGCTTATACGGGCTGTAGATTTGAACAGATCAACTGTAGAAATATGAAGTATATAGAATCCACAAGAGAGTGTCTCTTTAGTCTCGTTAAAATACAACTATATATCGCCCATGTAGCTAATTTAGATTTTGCTACTATAAACAATAACCTGCACAGTCAGATCAAAATACGTAAAACTTTATAAAACTTATAGCTTGAATTCATCTGGGTTCAAATAAAATGTTTCGCCAAAACCAATCGTTATTTACCCTGGATGTTTCCCAGCTACTTGTTTGTAGCCATAAGCCATTTGCTCTAAGGTAGTTTTTAAATTAGATTTTACACCTCGTGCAGAGAGTTGAATATTAAGTTATCCGGCGAGAGCAGGAGCCCATCAAATTTGATGGGCTCCTGGCGAGAGTTGTTAATAAGATTTACTTTGCAAGACATAATTGTGTGATCCCTGGTTTCCGTAATCGATTTATGCAGTTGTTCAGGCGGTCCTGCTTCATGGTCCTTGGTCTTAAGTCGTCTGAGGGCAGAAAATGTGCGCTGATTTTAAAGTCGCCTATGTTACAAGTATTGTCAAATAACAGTTTAAAAGTGTTTTTCATCACCACTCCAAATTTTTGTTTGGGGGGCTACGGACCCCCCCCGTCCCCCCCCCCCCCTCCCCAGCTTCGCCGCCTAGGCTATAATCCTTCTTCTTCTTCTTCTTCTTCTTCTTCTTAGAAAGTCAGAAACGCTGCTTTTTGGCATTCTGCTAGGCTGTTTGCATTACTACGAATGCCGTCACTGCAAAATTTGAAGAAGTTTTTGGGTGCCGTCCCCTTTTAAACCCAACATTTTTAGTTTTGATCCCCCTCTTAAACACGTATTTTTTCATGGTCCCCCATCAAATCCCACCAGCAACCCCCCTACCTGATAATAAATGAACGGTCTCTAAGAAGGTTTTTCTTGCTTATTCGTTATTGCATATATGAAACAAAACTTTAGTAGCATTTACTACTATTGATAGTATTAATAATTAATTAGAACATTTTTGGTTAAACATCTCCATTTTATGGGTAAACTAAAACCATGTCAGTTCGCAGGTTTGCTGTTCTCATATTCATGATGTTATGATGTTTTACTTAAAAGGTGTTAGCTGAGCTAATGATACAGGAACTGATGTTTTTTAGTCCCGACAGTCTATATAGCCTTGGAATCTGATTTCAAACGGAGTAGAACCCGCAAGAGAGCCTTCTCATTCGAAAACCTCAGAAAGACGGGTTCATTTCAGAAACGTTCAAGGATTTTACACGAATAAATTAGTGAGGCCGGATTTTCAACTAGGCCAATTATCTGCCCTAGCTGTTTCCTGGTAACCTGTGTGTCGCCCTAAACGATTTTGAATCTTAAACCTTAATCCTTTTTGCCAATGTTACCTCGGCTACTGAGATTATTTTGAGTCTGATCCTACATGAAATATATCTGATTTAGATGTCGATTTTCCAGGTTAATCCTTTATATAATCGAAAACTTTTCTTCAAATTCATAGTGGTTTAATTGGTCTAAATGTGTCCCATAATCTCCCTGCTATAAGACAATCTTCTCATCCCCATCCATGTGGATAGATTTCCTCTGTCGCGTTATTAATTTTTACCAGCGTATGCAACAGAAAATGACTTTCTCTCTTGGCGTACGAATGTATGAAAGGTTTCGTATAAAGGTAAAAGTTGATCCTCTCAATCTTTACGTTTACGCGCGACCGTTCGGACATTGCCTCTAGTTCATTTTCGCGTGTACGCACGTTAAAATTACGCGACATTATTGCCACTGGCGAAATCCACCGTTTAGAGACGCATATAACTCATAAAATGGTTGCTGCAAACGCGATAATGATCGAGCTCTTTGCCATCGAGATTTGCGCGATTAACATTCGCCAACCATCTTCGTCGCCGTTCTTCCGTCAATTTTCTTGTTTCTTCTCCTTGGTTCCAAATAACAGAAGGAAAACGAAAGAATTTAAACAGTCCCTTCTCTCGTTTTGATTTATGACTGCATCCATACACCGCACAAAGGAGTGGCATAATTAAAGAGGCAGAATTATGATTCCGCCTTATGAAACACGTGGGTTGGTTATCCTCCAACATGGCGCACGCCTGGTTTTTAATTTATGCTGACGTCACGTGCATCGCCTTGTAACGACAAAAGAGTAATTAACAATTATTCCTCGAGCCCGAATGGGTGCCGAGTCAATAGCCCATGAAACCGAAGGCTGAATGGGCTACTGACTCAGAAGCCAATAAGCAAAACTCGATTCTGCGGCCATTGTTTTGGTTTTCAAAGCCGGCACTTTTTCTCTACTAATGGATAGCCTAGTAGTTGCTCAACCAATCAGAACGCAGCATTGATGACCACTAGTTCTACTAGTTGGATTTTACTAAACCCTGTTAGCAGGCTTTGGTGTAATTACTAAAGCAGTATACTCGTCTGCTTTGTTAGTATGTCGGATATATGTACGAGGCAAAGCTTTAAAAACATGTAGGTTCCAACTTTCGTAGAAGACAAAACAATTAAAAGTCACAGAAAACTAAAAAAACTGCAACGCAATAGCAATGTAATTTTGGTTTCTTGACAGTCAGTGAAGAACCAAAGCACCCCTATATTTTACCTTATGTTAAGGGTTCTGAGCAAACTGTTTAGCTACATCTTCCTTTGGGAGAGGTAGGGCGCTCGAGTGCCCTCCACATATAATTGCTAAGGCAGCGATATCTTAATACAGTCGACTCCCGATAACTCGAACCTCGCTAACTCGAACCTCGCGCTAACTCGAACCAAAATCGATTTCCCCTGGATTTCCGTCATACATTCACTGTAATTTTACCGTCGGTAACTCGAACCCTCGATAACTCGAACTCCCACTAACTCGAATCTTTTTTTGATTTCCCTTGAAGGTTCGAGTTATCGGGAGTCGACTGTATATTCATGTACTGTTTTACCTTCACAGTACCAGAATGGTTTGATAGCAAAGTGGAACAAAGAAGGCAGCTTCATCGAGACCAATGTGAAAAGAAGCCAGCAAATCCTAAGTTTATTGAAGAGGCAGATTTTACTTACTTCATTGTTATTGACGAATTAAAGCTTGTGTTCTGCTGGATTCCTAAAATTTCCTGCACAACTTGGAAACGAGTTCTATTTCAAGCTAAAAACAACGGTACAATTGTCCCTATGAGAGCACATGATGATGGAAACAACTGGGGACATTTGGGACGACTTAGAAATCACCCACCGGCTGAAAGAAAGCGAATCCTTGACACATATTATAAAGCCATGTTTGTGCGCGAGCCATTTGCTCGTGTACTCTCAGCCTTCAAAAACAAAGTCGAGGGACATTCAAACGATATGTTTAAAAGGTGGGAACCAAGCATGCCAGATGCACACGTAGAAAAGAACAAATTCCCTATTTACATCCGAAATGTTCTTTCTTATAACCGTTCAAGCTTAGCCATCAACAAACATTGGCGATTGTACCACCAGATTTGTCCATGCGAAGTGGACTATGATTTCATTGGGCACTTTGAGGATCTGGCGCTGGAAGGTCAAATGCTGTTGAAGGCAATCGGAGTAGATCACCTAATGTCATTTCCAGAGTATCATTCATCGCACTCCAAACCGTACCTGCTGCAGTACTATTCTAAACTGACCAAAGAGGAAATTTACAAACTTGGGAAGTTTTACGAGCTCGACTTCAAGATATTTGGATATGATTTTCCTGGACCACTAAAGGAGATCTTGAAAGAAAAAGAACTTCAATGAGAAGAAACACAATGAAAGAAAATCACTCAGTACAATGGTACTACGTGTTCGGTTGGATGTGTTTTTTTGTTGTTGTTTTGAAATGAGTGGTAAACAAGTCTAACACGTTCAGGTCCGCTATTCATCGGAGTCAGGCCCCTTCAGTCAGGCGCGTTTTTTTTGCGCGTTTTGCTCGATAAGCTAATTAAGGAAAAAGAGAAACTGCTCGTAGTCTACGGTTATAGCCAGGTCTCCTGGCCTTGACAGACTCCTTGCTTGAACCATTCAAAACTCAGCTGAAGGACGAGTCTTAAAAGCTAAGGCTATTTACTGTTAGTACGAGAAGATCTTGTTTTTTCGAACATTTTCAGACATAACAAAAAATACATGGAGGTAAACATATAGAAATCGATAAATAGGGAAAATGAATAAACTTGCAACAAGTTTGGTTCCTGTACATTAATGGACAAGAGAGTCGATAGAGAGGATAAAAGTCTCTTGATTGGTAAGAAGAATAAAGATGTGTTTTCTCAAGAGCTTTATATGACATGGGCTCCCAGTTTCAAAGACTTATACCAGACTGGCCTACGGAGTCTTCCTTATGCACTGGGGCACTACAGGGTTATATGCTTCTGACTATATAGAGTTTCCCTTTCAAAGTGGTAGAAACTGAGAAATTTATAAATGACAAATTCCCCACCCCAGGGCAGACCTTTGGGGAAAAAATTCCCCACCGTTGGAACACAGTTATTATGTGGCTGAGTCATCGAGCTAGTGGGCAACAGTTCGGGATTTCTCGCGTTGGTCCCGCAAGAAAAAGTTCTTTTTTGGGGGCATGTAAAAAATCCTTTATTTACCAAGCGTGAGGTCAAGGTTGCTGAATATTGGCCTCGTTACTTTTTGCGTTTTTATTGGCCTCAACTCGGTCCATAAATACGCAGAAAATAACTTGACTAATATTTAGCCATTGAACGAAAAAGCTTGGGCAATAACGCATATGCAATACGTTTTACGGCTTGATTTGATTACCATCTGTTTTCTTCACCTGAGTTCGTGTTAGATACCTTAATTAATGGACACCTAGAGTTTTCAGGAGCCTTTTTTCTGGCTGAAATTTTCGTAAAGGTAAGTTTTGATCCCTATAATTTTCGCATCATTAGACTTTCAGCTAGGAAATCCGAACAGATGAAAAATTTTTAGGGGATAAAAATATGCCTATATCTACCGTTTAAATACTAAAATACGTTCAACAATGGTTTAAGTGGTTTTGAACTATGTTCTCGTTGGGCATAGTTATAGGTTATAGGTGGTTTTCACGTTACGTCATCGCCGCCATGCTGGTGGACGGTAAACAAAAGATCGCTCATTAGCTCGATTTGTTTGTCCACCAGCATTTGTTTATTTCACCATTGTTATTTGTGTCTCCCGAGATTGCATGAAAACCACCTACACAATTCATAAAATATATTTCAGCTTGTTTTGATGTTCGTGACAAATATTAGCAAAGTAACGTAATTGCCCTGCGTTGTAATTTTGATTCCTAAACATAGCTTTTGAAATACTGTATGTGCTTGTATGGTCATGCAAATAAAGCTCGTTGTTGTTGTTGTTGTTGTCGTCGCTGAGGCTTGTAAACAATCTGGTTCGCATCACGCAATTATCACGCTTCAACGCTGACACGCATGCTCACAGCGTGACCCGTCAAAAAAGCGCGCGTTACCTCCTGAAACGGTGAGCGGTGTCCTTCAAAATGTCTTTTAACTCAACTAAAGCCTTAGAAATTGGCCAGTATTTTACAAAAGACATTGAAGACCCTGTCAACCTGATTCCGGTGTTATTGGTGTTATTCTGTTTCATTTGGAGTGGTTTTCCGCGCGGTAAACATTCAGCTTTAGCGTGGTGGGCGCTCGTTAATGGCTGTATAATCCATTGCTGGATGGACGGGTAAGATCAGATCTATCGTTGTAATCTTAACGCTAGTTTGATGTTCTGAGTAGTGTATTGAAAGTTTTTTAGTTGATAGGTCTAAATTGCCTCCGAGATTTGATCTGAGGTACATCTCAGAGATGGGCGCCATTAACATAAGCTTAAGTCTAAGCCAAAGGCTTATTTAAACTCATTTTCCCGAAAAAATTCCAGGCTACGGATAAACTCCGCGTTTATTGCAATATTTGAGGTATAAATGCAGGATAGAGGGGTGCCAAGAAAAAGGAATGAAATCTCTTCTTTAGAAAATCTCAGATTCAGGCCCCCGAGGCTCGAGGAGGCAGCCAAGGGAAGTTTGGGTGAAGCCGCTTATGACAAAACTCCTTCATTTCGCTCCCCTTTTTCAGACAATAGACCTTTTGAGGGGGACATTGGGGGGTACCCAACACCGAAATACCGTAGGAAATATTGGCAAATTCCGAAATACTGTGTCAAAAATCAATGAAATACTGATACCGCATTCATGATCGGTCACGTTTATGCATCAGTCATTCCAGCTGTGCCTAGCCCCCCCGGGCTGACTCCCGGGCATTAGCATTTTTTTTGCCTTGGATGGCAAATTCCCGGGGGTGGGGATTCTTGAGCTGTCCTCCGTCAACGCTGCAAATTTTTTCATTGATCGCGCAGTCAAATAGTGCCGTTTTAAGCATTTTAATGAGCGATTTTTTGTTTCAATTAACGTCTTCCTTTGTAATAGTGCTAGGATTCTCATTAAGACTTCACGCTAAGACTTCAGTTATGTTATTACAGTCCCTCTATTTTTCTCGCGTCCTCCCAAACCGCCTTTGCCGCCTAAGTAGGTTTGACACTCAAGCAAGATAGCAGCCCACAACGCAAATCGTTTGATCTCGATGATCTTATGGAAAAATAGGGGACTGTCAACAGTCTAGTGTGCATGTCAAAAGCTTGGGAATGGCCCCGGGGTTGGCAAATGCCCTGTCCCCGGGCAGCACAAAATTTGCAAATGCCCCACTCCTGGGACTGACAAGGCGGGCAAATGCCCTGTAGTAGCCGGGGGGTGGGGGGGCTGGGCACAGCTGGAATTGACTGATGCATTACTTAAAGCTGTATCCATCTTGCATGTTTGTTTAACATTGCGAGAAAACATGAGAAGACCACCACTATTTGCCTTGGACCAATGTGACTTCCCTGAAGTTGTGCATCAAGCTCATCTTTGACCATTAAAATGAAGGATGTTGAAAGTGCAACAAAAGGATCATGGTTCGACATGTGTGATTTTTGTTTTTTTTATATGGGCAATTTAAGGATTTATATGTACCTTATTCCTCTCGTTTTTTTTCTCCATTTTTATTTTGTCGTTATTGTGAGGAATCATTTGTGAAGGAGTGCCTTTGGAGTGATGCTTGTCTGTGATGAAGCCAATAGAGTAACATTAATAGTAAATTATAGTTTAAAGTATTGATAAACTTTTCTTGTTTATTAATTCAGGGTGGTCGGTACCTGTGCCCGAGGACCAAAGTGGATGGTCATTGAATATGGCAAACTAGATGCTCGTTACTGGCCAACTAAGGATCCTCTAGTCATGTCAATTTCATTTTTGGAACTGGGTGTAATGGGCCCTCTTTGCATCCTCTGGTATGTCTTACGTTTATCATTCAACTTCATTTACTTGAAAATATATTACCTCATTTCCTATATACATACGAGGAGAGCAAGGGATTGGCCATTGGTAAGAGCACTCGTCTCCTGCCAATGTGGCCTGGGTCTAAATCCCTGCATCAATGCCATATGTGGGTAGAGTTTGTTACTGGTTCTCTCCTTTGCTCTGAGAGGTTTTTCTCTGAGATATCTGGTTTTCCTCTCTCCATAAAAACCAACATTTCCAAAATTCCAAATCAACCAGGAATCAGGTAAGCAAAGAACAACTTTGTGGATGTGCTACCCCTCTAAATCATTAGTTATTGCATCTACATGTACCCTCTACATATGATCTTTGGTTGGGATCAATTTTATCCTTAGTTAAGGAAAGTGCATCTTGATTACTAACAACTCCATAGCCAAGAACTAAGGAAAAAATTCTGTGCCAATTTTAACACTAAACCATCTGAAATGTTATGCACTTAAGATGAAGTGTACATGTACATAGTTTGCAGTTAATAAAAGTGCGACCCCAAAACACTTATACAGTCAAACCCTGCTATAAATGGACACCAGCTTAATATGGACACCTCATTATTACGGACAGTTTACGTTGTCCCTGGGGAAAGAAAGCCTGTACATCTTCTCTAAACTCAACCTGCTTAATATGGACACCCTGTTAATACGACACTTTTTATGACCCCCTCAGTGTCCGTATTAACAAGATTTGACTTTAATAATATTGAAAATCTTGGTGGAAGGGGAGGGGAGGAGAGGGGTTTACCACTTTGCAAATCTACCTGTAGAGGTGGGAACTAAAAAACTTTGTAGTAGCCCATATGGTCTTCTAATTTTCCAAGAGATTTTGATGTCACCCTACCAATACAAGAATACTCCCTTATAAGAAAATCTCAGTCTCCACATCTGTTATGATTGAAAAAAATCTACATGTAAAATAAAATGTAATTTATTTACCCCAGAAATACATACAGGAACTTGCTTGAAAGTGTTTGTTTCAAATAAAAATAACTTGATTTTGGAAGTTGTTTTTTGAGGATAGGAAACACCTGGAGAATAAGAAGTGTCTCAGAGCAAGGGCGAGAACCAACGACAAACTCGCCCATGAGACTCTCTATGGTCTGGGTAAAATTTCAGAGAAAATTGAAGTCACGATCATCGCTATTGATGAAATGATAATCTTAATTTAAAATGAAAGCGAAGATCACATTCATTGCCATTTCGATCAAGTATGACAGCATAAATGTAAGTTGTGCAATGATGGCAAAGGAATCTCACTGCCAAAAAGTGTGCTACACATTCAGAGTTTTTACCTTTACCTTTTTGTATGTTCTAATTTCTGTCACTGACATGGTTGCTTGAGCTTGTTGGTAGCATTACCACACCAAACAATTCTGGATATATGACAATTTCGTTGAAAACCAAATGATTTGCTGGAAAATGTGTGAGGAAACAATGTCTGCAAGTACCCATAGTGAGTCTTACCCATATAGCATTGAAGTTAAAACTTATACCCAATAAGCCATTTCCCCACCTGAAGCCCCATTATTATTTTTTTAATTTCTTATTTTTTCTGTTCTTGATATCGTAGCTGCTTTCTTCTTTTTCCTCAGGTACAGATCCATTGTCAAGGATCTATGGTGGCGTCATTTTATGTCAATTTTGGTGTCAACTTTCCAGATTACAGGCTGCATTTTGTATTGTGGTGGAGAGGCTTATGATGGCTTCAAACATGTTCCTTTGGTGAGCTCAATAAATCAGGATGAATATTATTTTGATCATCAGTTTATTGATAAATAATTATTTAACAATAATTGATGAATGAGGCTGAGTATCTTATGAAGAATTACGGAGATCAAGGAGGATAACACCCTCCGAGATCTCCATAATTCTTCATGTGATATGGAAGCCAAATTCAATAATTGTTTTATTATTCATTCAAACTAATTCCTAGCTTAAAAACATACTTAACACATGCTTACCTCCATCGATGTTAAGTTCATTTTTGATAGTGCACATTGAGGGTTGTTCAGCTCCCCAAATATTCTCCAAATAGCGGATGTCGCCCCTTGAGTTGTCTTCTTGCTCCTTCTCGCCATGTTTTTAGCCATTAATTCACCTAGTTCTTACTCTTGAAACGAGTGAAATGTCCGCCATTTTTGTTTGCACAGCCAAAACAACTCATCCTCATCCCCAGGTGTTCTCAGTTAATGGTGCATTAACCTGAAAGAAAGCTGCATCATCAGTTGATTAATCGCAAAATTCTTCCAAATTTGGTCATCAGTAGCTGGTTATGGTGAATTATGGGTGTGCTTTTAGCCAATCAGAATCTGGGAAATATTTTGAATGAATAATAATAACAATAAATCATTTGTATTTTTGTAGGACTGGCCACCCACATTTGACAGTTTTGAAAAGGTGTTCTATTTCTGGACCATCTATGTGTGCGCTAATGGTGTTTGGATTGTTGTTCCAACAACAATCATGCTACAGACTCTGTCAGAAATGAAGGACATATATAGTCCTCCTACTAGTTCAAAGAAAAAACGCAATTAACCATAGTAGTTGCTTGACGTAGAAAATGCTAACCGTATCTTCTCAATTCAACCCTCCTGGCTCCAGCCATTTGTTTTAAACTTAGCTGCGGGGACCAGGCAGTTGCTTGAATCTGTAGTTTATTCATGGCTGTAGTTGATGTTTTTCCTTTTAAAGTTTTTCCCCCTTCATCTCGCCCTTTTCCCTCAATTTTATCATCATATAAAGAAATATGTAAGGAGCATTTGATTGAGAAAATATGGTAGTTGCTGTTTTAATTTGCACTTTACACAGCAATGTATTTAGGCAGATCTAAAGGCACTATCCTTCCTTTGTACAAAGTGTGTTTGAACAGCCATGCATTTAAGCAGTGGGCTCCCCTATAGGCACTTAATTTTACATCTGGCCTCAGTGTTCAAAAGATGGATAGCATTCCATTGGATAGAACTCTATCCACTGGATAACCCAGTTGGTTTCCTTAGTACTTAACTGCAGGATAGTGATTTCTTTTATGACAGGAAAAGTGGTTCTCATTATTTCATTCACATTTCTTTTTGTTGCATCGTACCAAGTATAAGTTGATATTGGAATTTTTATGTTTAAAGTAGTGTAGTAAACAGAGTGTGTTATGGGTCATATCCTATACACGTGACAAGTAAAAAGGTATAAGACTTTCCTGTGTCTTTATATTTACTTTGAGCGAGGTTTTAGTCATGAACATTTGGCCAATGAGTACAATTTTATCTTAGGGAGTTTAATCTGATTACAGGCCTTTTGAATAAGTAATCAAGCGATAATATTTTCCATTGCACAACAAAATGTGGACAATGTTTTTGCATTATTGCCTTTTTTCTTAAGTAAACAATCATTCTTTTTTATAAAAAAAGTGCAGAATAAAAAATGTACCCAGTCAAACATCTCCTTACAGTCACCTCTATAATACAGACACTTCTCTATTAGACAATTCTCTTTTGTCCCAAAGACACCAAAATTCATGCAATTTTTCTCTGTAATATGGACACCTCTCTATTACAGACAGTTCTCTTTGTCCCAAAGACACCAAAATTCATGCAATTTCTACCTCTAGAATGTGGACACCTCTGTCCCCTCCATTTGGTCCTATTTTATGGAGGTTTGACTTTACATACCTTTTATGGTATGAGATGAGATAGTCAGCTCCTTTGGTTTAGACACCTTGTTGTCAAGAGACAAGTCTCTTTGAAGAAGTAACTCTAACACCATAAAAAGTAATAAAAATAAATATAAAGATAAAAAGTAAAAAAAAAAAAACGCTTCAGTAGTTGAAGAGAACATACATTTTCTTTAAGAACTGACTACACATGTATCACAAATCAAAGCCTTCTAACTTTTGTTTTAACTTGTTCCAATAATTATTTATGGATCTCTCGTTTCTTAATAGTACAGTAGTTGAAGAGAACATACATTTTCTTTAAGAACTGACTACACATGTATCACAAATCAAAGCCTTCTAACTTTTGTTTTAACTTGTTCCAATAATTATTTATGGATCTCTCGTTTCTTAATAGTACTGTATAGTTTTCTCATCTTCAATAAAAAATGTAACTAAGGCACTGATAAAAAACAATATTGGATCAATAAACTTAACTTGGACTTTCAACAATAACCAACACTGTCCTCCTTAACATCCATTTCTTGGAGACTGAATCAAAAGCCATCAAAAATATGTCTCCATTTCTGAATGGCTTAAATCCTTTGGCCAGTTCTTTGCAGCCTGCATACACATAGATGGCAGGATTGCTTCTTTACAGCGGAGTTGCCATGAGATGCTGCGAGGGATTTTCAAGAGCAGCAAGCCTGTGAGGAAAAATCAGTTTGACTAGCTCAAACTTGATTTGGGAGATCAATCTGACTAGCTCCCAATCTTCAACTGGCTCCACCGCCAAAAACTACAGCACTCGCCCACTAATCCTGCCCGCTACACAGGCTAGTTCTTTGTAGGTTCTGTTGACCAAATTTGGATCATGTTTACTGATGTCAATCCTATACTGCACTTTTTTAAGTTAACAAATTCTTTTCAATTTTTTTTTTTAGCAATAAAGGATGGAAATGAATATAACAACATTAATACCATTCTATCCTAGCCTGAGAAAACACCCAAGATTTTGCAACACCACCGGTGCTTTCATCTGAGAAACGAGCTCAGAAATTCCATGCGGATGGCATGTCACTACCGCACGTCATCAGTATGGAATTTCTGGGCTCGTTTCTCAGAGGTAATTTTGCAGGGAAACCACCAGTGGCATCACAAAATGTTGGCTGTTTTCTCAGGCTAATTTTGTCCTTGACACAAAATACACCTTCCTTTATCTTACACTTTATCATACATTTATTTGCCAGGTATAATTTAAACAATGTACATTAAACAAAGAAAAACAAAAATTGTATCCAACGAAAAAAATTGAAGGGCAATATAGTTGGCAACCTGTGTTGCATTCCAAAAATGTTAGCAAGAAGCAAACCCTATTACAATACTTTATAAGGAAGAAAATCAGACTAAGAAGCAAGGAAGACACCAAAAATATTATTACAAGGCTAATAAATAGCTGAATTTTTTAATTGAGCAAAACTTTGAAAACAAAATGAAAAACAAAAATTCAAGTAAGATAATGTTAGAAACTTTGAAGAAAGAGTGATGGGTTGGTCAATATTGGAAATAATCAGGAAGAAAAGGTCATAAACATGGTGCGTGATCATGCTGCTGTCCTTGCTGAAGTCACCTTTGTCAATTATTAAAAATGCCACTTCTCGTAAATTAAGCTAGCTTTAAAAAATTCACCATCTTATTTATACATCATGGAACACATACTAGTTAGGAAAAAAAAAATTGAAATGGGTTGGTCATGCAATGGAGAATAAGGTACTTCAGGGCATGTTCTTAATTTTAATTATTCACCAAATTTCCTTGTTTGCACTGCTTCTCAAAAAAAGAATCCGTTATGGGGAAAATATGGATACTTTCTGGACAAGTCGAGATTGTTGCTTGGAGATAAGTTAAGAAATTAGGAGGCAATTAATCCTACACGAAACAGAATTTCGTCACTTAAAGTTTCTCATGTGCTTGTTTATCGACGGTCAAGTATTCTTCAGGATATTTACAGCTGTACTTTTCATATCATATGCGATGATTTGTTTCTGAGTTGATTGAGAATGCGAGTAAATACAAAAAAATCAAGGGCCTCGATTGGAGAGAAATACATCATTGCCAAAGACTCAGCAAAACATGATGAACATGGCGCGTCAATCAGTGATTTGTTACAAATAGTTGTGGTGAGTCCTGGGACTCATCTTGTGCAAAATCATGAGTACCAGTAAAAAAAACGAGTCCAAATTTGAAAATGCTAGGAACACTTGGGACCATGACCCCTTTTGGGATGCACACACGGACAAAAAAAAGGACGAAACGCTTATAGCCTTGCTGCTAAAGAAAGCTCGACTAGCAATTTCTTAGGATCCTGAGGGAAACAAAAACTATTCAAAGACACATTGTCATAAAAATATTTTCTGCCATTAATAATTTGTTCCACCTCACTACTAAGTCTTCAGACTTCTCAATCTCTCCATCTCTGAAACCGACCATAAGTAGTGATGCATTTCCTTTTCTGCAATGTCAAGTTCATCGAGATCCTCTCTTTCTCCATCCAGTTGCTGTGAACTCTGGATATCACATATTCTTGCCTCAAAATAACCATCCATTAACTCTTCTTCAGAGTAACCACATTTAAGAAGTTTTTCTATCAAAATATCATTGTCATCCAATTCATCTCCATCTGCACAAGTAGTCAAACCTTCAATGCAGACTGTTGACGTTACATTACCCCCACTTACATGACTTGCATTACTTGTCAGTACAACTGAAGATGTGTCATAGGGTGGGGCAAATTCACCATTTACTTTTGTACCAATTCCCAAATCATTTCCATGGCAACCAGGCACTTGTTGCCCTCTTGCGTCAGAGCAGTTCCGTGAAACTGACGGTGCTGCATTATTCGTTTCACTTGTTGCACTAGATATTTCTAGATTTTGATGTTCCTGATTAAGGAGACGACATTTGGCCAACTGTATCTTTGCCTTGCGATTCCTGTCTGAGATTTCTTTCTTTTTCATCCACAAGGACTTGACAACAGATAAATCAAGCCTCCCACATTTCTTGTGAAAATTTACAATGTCAACGATGTGCTTAGTAATTCCCCTTTGAGTCACAGATGCTGGTATCCATGGCACTTCTTTTCCCAGATCGAGTAAACTGATCTTTGTGCGACCCATTTCCTTTTTAACCTGTTCGATTTTCAAGGAATTTTTTCCTAACACTTGTGAAATCTTTTCTTTTGTTGGAGACAAGTTTTGGCACTCGAGCACCAGTAGCACTAAACTGATAGCTTTCAATGCAGGATTTTTACAAGACAACAGGCCAAAGCACTTACAAATTTGACAAAGATCGGTGCACAACCTCTCGGAGGAGCTGTCATGCACTGAAAAATCCGACAAAAGGTTGACAACAAGAGACTCGACACTCAGCCGATCCAATTTTATATCAAGCGCTTTTACCATAATTTTCACGCACCTCCCAAGCAAAAACATGTTACATTCAGCCACTTCAGCTATGCGTCTGTAGGTTACCTGAATATTATTTTGCCTGCAAACGATAAACAAGCATCCACCGACAAAAATGTTTCTTCGAAACGACAAGCCACGAACTGCCCCTGAACTTCTCATCGGCAAAATTCTAGAGAACAATAAATCTCGCGCCTTCTCGAGAATTTCATTCGACAGGTTGAGGCGCTTCACTTGGTGGAGCAAGCAAGATTGAAGGGTTCTTCTAGTTACTGACGATTCAACCGTAGGCAAACGTTGCCTCGCGTTTCTTGACAGCTCGTGACGATCGTTGAATGTCCTGCCACTGGTACTAACGAAAGTGGTACCACGTTTTTCTCTTTCCGTGCTGAAAACTCTGCCTTCTACAATAGCTCCGCACTCGTGACATACATGTTCTCCCTCTTGCTCAGCTTCAACAGCAATTTCATGGCAAACAGGACATTCGGAAGGCATGGCTAATTGTAAAGATGTAAACGTTTGCAAAACGACAGGTTTGCTGTGATATTCTAGGCGTTTCTTGCGCTAGTGCCAGTCTCTTTTGTTCGAAAGTTCCTCTTACCCATAATTCACCATCAGCATTGTACAATGACCGCTCCCTAATGTAACGGATGTACAGCGCATTTGTTTTTGTAAAAGTAGTCAAGAAAAACAGCTCAGACAATACTCTAACTATTACATTAATGAAAGGAGAATTTCTTTATTCCAGGAACAGAAAAAATATGCTTGAAAGGAGTCTAAGTTACACGGATCCGGACAAATTGTTGAACGGGAAAAAACTTGCACCGAACCGCCTTTCGTTTACATGGGACCTGCGGAACCATGCAAATTTTTGAACGCCAGAAAGTACAGCAATCTGTAACAGAATTTGTATGATTCCATGTAAACGGGTTGCACAAGTAAAACATTCGTCCGTTCAAAAATTTGCCAAGACCCATGTGTGGACGCGCATGTGGCTCCCGTGCTTGTTCGCGGGGGAAGCAGTGGTGACGTTGCGAAATGTCGCTTGTTTGCTCAGGCTAGAGGAGTCTTGAATGTCAACGTCACGTTTTCTGTAGACTTTCTAACGCTCGCTCGGTCGCTGCGCGACCTCGATTTAGCTCGCTTCATTCGATTTTTTTCGCTCGGGATAAGAACTAGGTCGACTTGTAGCAAAGTCTACGTTTTCTGTTCGCCAATTGAAACAGACAATTTTTTATGCTCGCGAAGACGCTGGCGGATGTTAAGTTTCATTATGACGCCATTTTTTCTGATAGCTATGGATCGTTCACATCTTGAATTTTTGTAAACTGCTGCGCGGAAATCAGCGATGGTTTGATGCAAGAACTGCTATGAAAAATGGTCCTAGAAGTTTGGACTATATTTTAATCACAGTTGTTACGTCAAAATGAATATTCTACAGGAACATGTAGTGGAAAAAAACGAAGGAACTAGTATGGTGCTTTTTTTGACAGACCATGAAGAAAGGTTGTTTTTTCTACAAGCAAGTTACAGCAATATCGACGCCATCTAAGAGGAAGCGGTCAGGGGCACTCAACGTCAATTTTTGGAAAATATCTGTTCGGAAGACGATTTGAGAACTAGAATTTTCGGAACATTTGTTGTAAAATTTCCTGCTTGCCTGCCTCTCCTAGGATTTTCGAACATCTAAAAAATGGTATAATTGCTGGCTGACATTTTGGAAAAGGTAAGTTTTGATCCCTATAATTTTCGGATCACTAGACTTTCGGCTAGGAAATCCGAACAGATGGAAAATTTTTAGGGGATAAAAACATGCCTATTTCTACCGTCTAAATACTAAAATACATTCAACAATGCTATGTTTAAGTGGTTTTGAACTATATTCTTGTTGGGTGCCCCTGAAGCGGTGTCAGGTCGTTTGCCCGATGGCAGTTCGCCCGGACTTAATCGGCAGGAGTGTATTTATACTTTTTACTTCTTATTGCAACTCTTCGTCTATTAAAGTGACTCTCATATACCTAATTTAAGGAAAATCTGACTAGTTTATTTTGTGGCTGTGTTGATATTAAGGTACACGAGATCATTATGCGGTACGAATGTGCTGAATCACACGCGGCTTTGGCACCATGTTAAACAAGTTTCCTTGAAGTATTTTCGAGCCATGGACCAAGAACCCTTAAAACTCATAATCAGAACGCTAGCTCATTTTTACTCTTGCTAATTGCTTGGTAATTTTCTAAAGTGTTTCCGAAACTAAGTGCAGTTTATGTTACCACTTAGACACCTACTGGTTCGTCAAGGGTAGGATTGTTCATAACTCTTCGTAGATTCAAATATGTCAGTGTTTGTTGAAGCCAATTGAGTGTGCATGTTTAAAAAGTCGGCTACTCTCTAGGCAGCAAAGCATACGTATTAAACAGGGAGGCGGCCAAGACTGGTCTTGGTCATTTGACTTCTTGTTACCATACTGGAGATCCTCACAAATTGTTTGAACTTGATTGGCGTATTTTTCACTATATGAGAATTATTGCACTTAAGGAAAATTCTTGATAAAACTTTTCTTTCTTTCAAGCAACTCGTTAGTCGATGACACTTTGCTGAATACAATCGTTCTACATCAGAATAAGATGTGTTTTGGAGTCCATGAATGCTGACACGGTAATTCTAATCACTTTTATTTTCAATGAGGAAGAGCATTTCCTAAGGGCCAGTACAATGTGCTTACATTCATGTTTGATAGTTCTTTTTTGGCGTGTCGGAAAATGGTTTGGCACTCCTTAATTTCCGTTTCTAGGCGTTTCTTAGATATTGGGCGGGTAGGAAAAGCTGATTGTGGTCATCTGGCCTCCAGTTCAAAATAAATTAATTAGAACCATGCTGGAGACCGTCGTTTGTAAACCCGCGGGCTTGCTATTTTCGGCGATGGTCTAAAGGTAACAAATAAAATAGTCTTATAAAAAAATTTCTTCAAGATTTTCTCTTGCAGAAAATGATGAAAAGAAGACTGGTAAATACATGACAGACGGGAACTGACTCAATTCCCCAATGCGATTTTATTCATTGGAAATATCATAAGTAGGTTGAGCATGGAAAAATATAGTTCATTCTTGGTCTGCCTAATGAACTCAGTAATCAACCGGAAAACACCTTTACATTTAGCTTCGGAAACGACCTAGCATCTTATCGATCGTTAATTATCGCAAAAGTACCGTTGATATAAAGCCCGCTGCTCAATTCTAATTTCTCCTTTATGTATTTTGATTTTACTATTATGTCAACTCGTTGAGTAAGGTATCGGTTTGATTTTTCGTAGCATAAGTCACCTTATGTCAGATTTCACCGGTAGAGGTATAATTATCGATTCGCGAAACGACTTAAAGATCGTTGAAAACCTGATTTACACGAGCAGCATTTGATTAAGTTAATTGAATTATGTCGGTAATTCAGTTACTTGAATTTTATAATAATCAACTTAAGTACTATAGCTTAAATAAACAGAGTAAATTGCCCACTCCCGGTCGCACAGTCTAACTGTGTTTTTTTTTCGCTATTTCAGCAAAAATATAATCATTCTCAAAAATGAATCAGCTGTTCTTCTGCACAGTTATATGCGGGTTCTTGATATCGGAAGCCGTTTGTTAGTAAGGCGTGTCTCATTTTTTCAAGTAAGTTATAATCCTTTTCGTTCTTGTTTTCTTTCAGGATCAGCCGAGAGACAGCCGTAAATAGTTGAATTTGTTGCACTTACAAAGTACTTCAGTCAGCAAAAGAGGGACTCGCATTTGATTAGTGGTTTCATTGTTACAGACCCATTTCTGGTGTGTCCATATCATTTCCAAGTGGCTCGTGGCAGTGCCCTCTTTATTCATTAGTGAATACCTTTTTTGGTATTGTGAGCCGTTTTGTTGGTATGGCGGCATGCTTTTGACTGCTGCCACACTAACATTATTCGTGGAGCAAAAGCAGAAAAAAAATGAATGAAATGGTTTTTTTTTTTTGAAATAACAACTTAAAAGAAAAACCCTTGACCCTGTGAGCCCTATAAAAATCTAAATTTGGTTCGTGAAGGACTCGGCATGCAAGGGAAAGAACCAGTTTGCGTCACCTAGTCAAATGAAAAAATTATCCGAAAAATCGTGTAGTTATTTTGTTGGGTCGTGTAGAAAACATTAGGTGAGTGTGAGGGGCAAGGCTAAAGAGAAAAGAAATAAAACTCTTTAGTGTTATGTTACCGAAGCAAACCACAGGACGTAACCAATGGGGATGGATTTAACCTTAAAAAATTTGGATTTTTCGTGCACTCAACCTCAAAAAATTGATCACATTATATGGCGGTACAGCTTTGATTATTTATTTAAAAGCCCTGTTTCCTTCAAGGAAGTTTTGTTAACGTGCTTAGTAATCTTTCCATATAAGTCGGTACAATTTTTCTTTGTATTTACTTTCAGGGCCATCCGCCCAAAGTTGACCTCGGAATTTCGGGTAGAACTAGATTAAAGAAATAATATGTGGGTTTTTCCACTCCATCACCGGGATCTTTCGAAGCGTACTTAATCTCAGACAACCGTTTTAACACACCTGGGAAATATGTGATTCCATAATGCGCCTAAATGCCAAGGGTACTAATGCTAAATAAAATTGGCACCTAAAATGTTCTCAGTTTTGCCTCCCGTTTGCTTGGTCTTGTAACAACTAACTGAAATTCACAGTTAAAGATAAGGGAATGAGCTGTCAGCAATTTTGTTCGTGTTCTTCATCAAAACATTTCTCCAATCGCATGTCTTTTCATAGATTGATCATGACTGACATAGGCAGAAAACGCCTCCAGAATGTACTAACTAGGTCTAGATGTTTCTTTCATGTAAACCGAAATAGCCTATTTGGGCCTAAATGGGATTAAACATAATCTCGATTCATCTCATAAATGCGAACGCTACCCATTCCATAAAAGAAGCATTAAGCAGATTAATATTATAAGCTGACTTAATATAATGCATTTTCAGCAGTTTTGAGCCTTTTTACAGACCGAAATGACAGATTTCCCTACCCTTTAACATACTTCACCTTGTGAAATCCCTACCCTTTTATATACCTGAAGCGTCAAAAAGGTACCCCTTTAGGGTGGAGCCTCCTCGCATTATACAGGGTACCCCCTCCCTCCCCCTGGGAGCAGCCTAAGTCGCATCTACTGAAATGACTGCACTTCAGATGATGATGAATTTATGTGCGAGTCAGCAACAGGAAGGAGTTATTGCTCGAGTGACACAGTTAGCTCGAAATGTCGAAATTAGCTTCCAAAGTCGTACTGGAACACCATTCTCGGTGAGATTGAAAAGAAAAAGTGCTGAAACGTGAAACGTGCACGTGAACTGATGACGTCAGTAGCTGACGAATGTCCCAACACTTAGCATGCGCACTTCATGCTTGTTTTGTACCTTTTCAAGTTTTCAAAAGTAAAATTCAAGAGAACAAAAATGTTTAAAACCCCTTTGGCT